CCCCCCCCCTCAGTCCCTATTTCATATCATAATAGTATGATTTTGATGAAATACGGCCTTAAACCCTAATCATCGCACACGCTTTCTAATTGCAGATCTTGATTGAAGCCTTTTTTTCAAATTTCTATAATGATCCTTTTCTATATATGGGAAAACCATCAATAAGCCGCGTCCGAAGTTATTTTAAATCCGAAGGAGCTCTAAAGTACACAATGAGTACAGCAAGAAGCTTAGCACAAAAAATTCCAGATGAGCGATGATTGCAATGGCCGACATGACGTTATTACTAGGATTTGTAGTGTCCAGAATCGAGTTGAAGTGCATTCTAATGCTCGTAAAGTTTATAGAGTATTGCGCGATTCTGCGATAAAAGGACTATTACCGCGAGAAGATAATGAATGGGAAAAAAACTAATATATGAGGAGAGAAGACAGCCGAAAAAAAAACGAAAAAAGAAGAGTACGATAGCTCCGTTTCATTCCTAACCCTATTGCCTAGAGTTGATATTGTTAAAGTTCTTAGCCCTTTGATTCGAAAAATGTCACTATGGAGATGAATACATGAACTGGAATAATTTTTGAGATCGCGTGAAAATACTTGAAATTCCAGTGGTTAAAGGTATATGCACTACTACATATTGTATCACATCGAGGCACAACTAGAAGAGGGATTTAGTCCCGTATTTTTTTCATCACGTAGAAATGGCATTATTTCAACCCTACATACTTCATTCTGCTATTTAAATTTGGTTTATATCGAGTTAGAAACTATAATTAAATGAGGTTTTTTATCAAGGTTTTTTCAAAGATTTTCGTTCTTCCTTCTCATAAAGTTTTTCGCAAAAAGTTTTAATTAAAATGAAAGAACCTACATTAGCTTAAAAAAGCAGATTGAAAATTCCGCGTTAATGCACTTATCGTAATGCGTATAGTAGTTTGATAGCTATTTCAATTACTATAACTTCGCGTTTTTATCTGTGGTGGGAGTGAAGCTTGCATGCTGTAACATAGGGGCATATGCTCAGATTTGTTTTCTCACGGC